TACTAGCAGGGTCAGCATAAACTCAGTTTATGCAGTGTACTTTTAAGCCATTGTATTACTAAGATTGAAGTTTTTACTTGATTTTAATTTTTTTAATCGTATCTTTGTACTAAAAACGCAATTTTTATTATTGCAAAAACTAAAGTTTTGTTTTTGATTTGAGCTTTTAATAAACAAATTTATTTATAATAATAAAATTAGATTAGTAAAACAAAATTTAAAACTGTTTGTAAAACTATAACATAAGCAAAGTTTTTAGCTGTAAATATAAACACTTTGGTTTAAACAAAAGTTTTGACTGGAGCAAGTATTGGCGCAAACAAATCTACCCCTAAACCTAAACCTAGACCAAAGCCTAAACCTAAACCTTAACCTAGACCTAAACCTAAGCTAAGGCCAAGACCTAACCTAGACCTAAACCTAGACCTAGACCTAGACCTAGNAAACCTAGACCTAGACCTAGACCTAAATCTAAACCTGGACCTAGACCTAAATCTAGACCTAAATCTAGACTTAGATTTAGACTTAAACTTAGCCCTAAACCTAAACTTAAACTTAAACCTGGACCTAAATCTAAACCTACACCAAAACATAGACCAAAACCTAAACTTTTGCCAGTTTTGGCCTGTGCATTGCTTTCCTCACTCCCCCACTATTTCCCCCTGTTAGCCAATCACCGATCAGAATTTATTCTCTGCCCGCAGAAATGCTAAAAATGCACAAAAATGCTACTGTTACCAAAGCATTGCCGAAAGTTAGCAGCACAGTTCCCACACCCCTTCCTCTCTACCGCTCCCCTTTACACTGTACTCCTTTTCCTCCTTTTCCGCTCTGCTTCGCCAGCAAAGTGGGGAGCATGCGCAGTAGTGCCTGTGACGGACAAACGCACACGCGAACCGAGATTTTTTAATAACAGTAGGGGAAATGTTAAAACGTGTACAAAAAAATTGAAAATATTTTGTTAAACTAACCGTTTTAACTTTAACTAGGTGATCGAGGTTTTCCGGGTCGTGATGGCCCGAAAGGTGACAAAGGTGATGCGGCGTTTGTACCTATTGACCTAGTGCGACCAGCGCCTGGCGAGAAAGGAGACCGCGGAAGTAAAGGCATCAAAGGTAAAACCAGTGTATTTGAGCATTTTTATCAGCTACATTTTGCTTATTTAAAACGAAATTACTTATGTATTTTTTTATCATCAGGTGAACCTGGAAGAGACGCACGCCCAGGGCTTCAGGGTTTACCAGGACTAATTGGCGTCAAAGGTAGCAAAGGAGATAAAGGTATGTGTTTAGCAACAAAATCTCAAAATCTCAACATTTAAAGTTTTATAAAGTTTGCATTAATACAATAATTGAATTACCTTTTTACAACAGGATACCTTGGGTTTCCCGGAACTCCAGGTCCGATGGGCCAACCGGGCCTTATTGGTGCCCAGGGCGCCAAGGGCGACGCAGGAATCGGTTTACCAGGAATCCCAGGCGTACCTGGACCAGAAGGACCTCCCGGTATTGATGGTGAAGTCGGTGGTAGAGGACCAAAAGGCGAGCCCGGAAATTGTAGCTTTGCAGGCGACATAACACTGGTTCCCGGCCCCCCCGGAGAAAAGGGGGCCAAAGGCGATAAAGGCCTTGTTGGCCCAATTGGTGAGTGTTTCGATTACAGTAACTTTGTGACTCGCAGATTTTGGATGATCACAATATAAGTAAAAGCTGAAAGAAAAATAACTGGCAGTGCGCATCCTTTGCTTTATCCAATCACCCATGGCAATTTAGAACACACTTTTAAACAAATCTTTGTGTCACGCTAAATTTGCCAAAAATGTTTGCTGAGTTATAGTCACTAATCAATTTATTTTTAGGCCCTGTTGGACTTTCTGGACGTGATGGAATAAATGGAATTGTTGGCGCAAAAGGAGAAAGAGGTCGAGACGGCCAATCTTTTGGACCAGGGCCTAGAGGACCACCCGGGCAAACTGGAGAAAAAGGTAGTGAAACAAGTAGAGTTTTGAACTAGTACTGAACTGTAGTGTTGTCGGAAGATACTCAAAAAACACAATGAAGTTACTTAATGTAGTGGTTGTTGAACTGTTAACAACTGTACAAATTTTTGTACAACTAACCTGACCTTAACTATTTGTTTGTTTTTGTTTATGTGTTGTAAAACATCTCTATTTTTCTAATTTCAAAAACAGGAAATGTGGGCGCTAGAGGATTTCCTGGAGAAGTTGGAAAAACTGGCGATTTTGGTATCAGTGGTCTTCCTGGACTTCAGGGAGCCAAAGGCGACAAAGGAGATGCTCAAATTGGGCGCCCAGGTTTAGCCGGACTTCCAGGTGAGTGTTTACAAAACAGTTATTACAATATATTACAAAACTTAGAGTACTTCTCAGTGATGATCATGCAACTAGAAGCTAAACATTAAATTTGAACCTGTTTTTGATTGTTAAGATAGTTACGTAGTAAAACATTACAAATACATTGACTGTCCAATTTAAAAAAATTTGTAATGATAATCTTTAAACATCATCTGCAAAATCTGTTTATTTACAGTTATAACTTTAGACTTTCCATCAAAACTTATAAAATAATCTTAAAATTTAACATAATAACATTTCAAAATCAGGAATGCCTGGAAAAAAAGGAGAAAGAGGAGAATTTGGAAGAACTGGTCCAAAAGGCGAGAGGGGAGTTCCCGGATTAGGTGGACTAAAAGTAAGTACATTTTATTCTAATTAAAAAACATTTTCATGTACACGTTTTTTACAGGGGGATCAAGGCTGGCCCGGAATTCCTGGCGGACCTGGAGCCCGAGGAGAAAAGGGCGATTCTCAAATTGGACCCCAAGGGTTAGAAGGCCCTCCTGGAGCTAGGTAAAAACAAAAAGTTGTAAAAACTTGCCCTGAAGAACTACTAATGGGTTTTTTATGTTAAAGTGGCCGTGATGGTCAGAAAGGCTCCAAAGGCGAAAGAGGGCGTGATGGTCTAAGTGGAATCCCAGGCCTGGTTGGCGCCAAGGGCGACAGAGGAGAAATTGGGTTGAGTGGAATACCAGGTAAGTTAAAGCATTATCACTTTTTCAAAAAAAGATGTTTCAAATAACAATTAATGCTCAATTCAATTCACTTCTAACAGGTCTACCAGGAAAAGAAGGCGCTGTTGGCCCTCGAGCAAGGGACGGACTACCAGGGTTTCCGGGAATTAAGGTAAAGTGTTTAATAAGATCATTTTATATCAATTTATCAGTTAGAAACCAAACTATTAAACATTATCTAATTTTTAATTTATTTTTAGGGTGAACGGGGAGATTCTATTAAGGGAAATCGAGGTCCTGAAGGCCCTGCTGGGCCAAGAGGGCAGAAAGGAGAGATGGGAAGTCCTGGGGCTCCTGCAAGGGACCCAATGGATGGCGTCCCTGGCCCAAGAGGCCAAAAAGGCGATAGAGGATTTCCTGGAGCTAGTGGGCTGCCCGGAAGAGATGCTGAGATATCACAAAAGGGTCAAAAAGGTAAGAAACTTGATCCAAGTTGATCTAGGACAAATTATTAGTTAACTAATCAACACAAAACAAATAAGAAAAAGCACAACAGATTGTTTAGTTTAATAAAATTTTTGCGCAAAAAAGTTTAATTCCACATCTACTTTACACCAGCTTTACAGTTGAATAACAAACAGCTCTCATCAAAAGTCGACTAATACCGTTCATTTGTTTGTTTTTAGGTGAAAGTGGGCGTCCGGGTCTAAGTGGATTACCTGGAAAAGATGGTGTCGATGGAATGGTTGGATTTCCTGGTCAAAAAGGTGAAAGAGGCGTTTCGTTGCCTCCTCTACTACCCGAAAAGGGACAAAAAGGAGAAATTGGGCCTGTTGGATTGCCTGGTATTAACTGGGGATCATCAGAAAAAGGAGACAAAGGTAAAAGGCTATCTGTAGTTACGAGTTTCGATGCTGTTAAGACAACAATCACTTAACGTATGAATCTAATGCAAATTACATTTTTCTAAAACAGGTGAACGCGGATTTGATGGCAGAGTTGGAGAAAAAGGCGACAGAGGTCTTGATGGACTCCAGGGTCCCAGGGGCCTTAGTGGTATACCTGGCCGTACCATACAGGGTCTCCCTGGACTTCCTGGCCAAAAAGGTACAGTATTCATTGTTTTAAAGCCAATTTGACAAATGAAGTTCTTTACAGGTGAAAGAGGATCTGATGGGCGGCCTGGACTTGACTCTGAGAAAGGGGACAGAGGACTACCAGGCCTACCTGGAAGAGATGGGCTCCCTGGAATTAAAGGTGATCGCGGGCGTGACGCCATTGGGGCTGAAAAGGGCGCCAAGGGCGTTAAGGGTGAACCAGGCCCTATGAACACCTTTCCTGGACCAAAAGGCGAAAGAGGCTATGTTGGACTACCTGGGCTGCCGGGTGAAAAAGGTGAGTACTTGCAGTAAAAAATTGCCTGAATAATAAGTTAAAACAAGTTAAATATTTATTATTGACTAAACATGATAATTATTTAAAAACAGGTGACAGAGGTTACGACGGAGCAGTGGGAGTTCCCGGACTCCCGGGACCAGTGGGCTTAATGGGAGATAAAGGAGAAACAGGAGAAGATGCCAAATGCTGTGAAACAACTACGGACAAGGGAGAAAAGGGTGATAGAGGCAAGTTGAACTTTCCTTAGTGCTCCCTTTTTTATTCTAAATGTGTTCACTTTTAAAACAGGGTTGCCAGGAGAAATTGGAGCCAGAGGACCACCCGGAATGCCTTCATTACCTGGCGAAAAAGGTTGGGGATGAATGATGTGTTTATTGATTTCACTAATGATTTTGAACACTCAAAACGTCAGGCGAAAGAGGCGCAGATGGGTTTCCGGGACGACAGGGCGTTCCCGGAATACCCGGACGTAGCGTGCAAGGCCTACCTGGACTACCTGGACAAAAAGGTGAGTGCACTAGTGCTACTGACACTAACATTACGACATTTTCTGTGCTTGAGAGTTTTAGCAGATAAAAACAACAAACAGTTTTCTAACTAGTCATTGATTACAATTTACAGGTGATATTGGTCCACCCGGTCCACCCAGCCCGTATAAAGGCAGAGACGGGCCACCGGGACTTCCCGGAAGAGACGGTAAATAGATTAAATATTTTTGGCAGTCTACTAACACAGTAAAACAGGTCTACCTGGAAAAATGGGCGAAAAAGGAGATAAGGGGGCCATCGGACCCCCCGGAAGATCCTCTATGCCTGGTTTACCTGGAGAAAAGGTAAGTTTAATTTAATACCACGTTGAAAAACTTTTAGATAGCTTTTTGTGTTACAAACAAAAAAAGATGCATTTTTACAAGTTACAGCTAAAACTCACACTACGTCAAAAGTTGGTGCAGCGTCTTTTGGT